TATGTGCATGTCATATTTGTGTTCATAAAACCATAAAACTAAAAAAAAAAGAAAAAGTGGCATTGTCTGTATTTGACCACTTTTGATTTATAAAAGAGCAATTTTGTGTCATTCAGCCTAATAATTTAAAGTGTTTGAGGAGTATATTGAAGGCAGATATCCTAAAAGACAAAGCACTAAAGGATGCCTGGAGGGGAGATTGAATTCCTAAGGAAAGCTAGATAGGGCATCAATAAAGGATGGTTTTCATTGGTGGCTTACAAAACCCAGTTGTTATTGTTGTTGTTTTAATTGATCTGTGCGTGGCAGTTTGTGAATCATAGATGTACTTATAAGAGCTTTACTGCAGCATCCCAGAAATCCATTAATTCTTAAAACTCCAAACTCTGCTTTTTTTAAGTGAAACAAATATTACCAGGATAGACTAACAACTTGGTTATGTTTTTTTGGTTTTGTTTTGTTTTTAATGGTGAAGCCACCTGTAAACAAAGAACACATTAGGTGGAGATTATCAAACCTTTAGGCTGAGCATTGCCCCTGATGTATTGTGGCAACTGATTGGCAGGGGAAGAACAGATAAAATGCTCTTCCTAAGCTATGGGGACAGGTTACCTAGTAACCATAGAATGATTAAATTCTGTTCACAGAGCCTTGTTCTCTTAATTGGACAAAAAGATTTAAAGAACACAGCTGGAGAGCAACTGGAGCCATGGAGGACTATCGCAGGTGTCAGTGGGCCTCATATCAGCAGTTCTAGCAGCCTTCACTTAAGGGCCACAGTATGTGATTGAATCCTTTGTTAGTAATAAGCGGCTAAGCTGCCTACAGAGCCAGAATTCTGTGCTCTTCTCACCTATAGGAAAAATGAAGATAAGCTATGGAATGGAACACATTAAATGCAGTGCAAACTCCACGTGGCATTATAGTTCTGAGAGTGATCACTTTCTGTGTACAAGATTGTGTTTGTGCTCAGATATCAAAGTTCTATTCCTTACCAGAACGCAGAGTGGTCATTTGGGGTCAGTATATCCTGTTATTGCTCTCTTTTGTCTGTTAGGCACATACTGCTTTATAGAGAATTATGGTCATTCCGTTCTCCCCTGCTTTGACAGTAAAATTAAGAAAAACCAAGTTCTAGGTTGACAATGATTAAGATTTTTTTTTTTTATCCGTTAAGGACCTTTAGGTAACACAATCATTTTTTCCTGTGCTCAAAAAAGAACTCAACATGCATGTCACTAACTGTAATTGGAAAAGCTCTACCTGTGAGTCACTTTTAAAAATGTTTTCCATGGGGCACCTAGCTGGCTCAGTCGGTTGAGCGCCCGACTTTTGATTTCGGCTCAGGTCGTGATCTTAGGGTTATGAGATTGAGCCCCAGATTGGGCTCTGCGCTAGGCGTGGAGCCTGCTTAAGATTCTCTCTCTCTCCCTCTGCCCCTCCCCTCCCCGCTTGTGCTCTCTCTCTAGGAAAAAAAAAAAATGTTTTTCAGGTATACCTTATACTCCTTGAGTAAGATTTATAAGTTAATATTGCCTCGGTTTGGCAGCTTTCCTAACAGGGATGCAACTTAAAATTTTCTTAAAGCCCCCCCCTAGTGACAAACAACAAATTAATCCATAACATGCTAATACCTCCAAGCTGCAAGTTCTGTTTTCTCTTTTAGTATTAGATGAATCAATAGCTACAGTACTTTGATTGGAGAATGACTAAGAGATAGTCAATAGCTCACAGTGTCAAGTGCTCTTCAGTCACCAAAACCTAAGGGATTTTGTTTTGAAACTGAAGTCAACACAAAGTGCACACCCATCCTGTAATTCTACTTCTCTTACTCTGCCCTGTTATCTATTTCTTTTAAAAAATTTTTTCCTAAATATTTGTTTTTGTCCTTCAGGGACTTTAGGGATTAAAATATGTTCATAAGAACTCAATGAATGGAAAAAGATTATCTTGGGCTTTTACATCTTGTTGCTTTTATTGCATTTATTGGATAATCTTCACTGTGGTGTTAAGCATGTCCCAACAGACAAACATGAGTTCCAGGAATCCTCTGAATTATGAAACTAAGGGTTATCTATAAATATATAGATTAAATGTATAAATAATAATATGTTTTTAAAAATGTAAAATAAAATGCAATAAATAAACTATGTATTATATGTATTAGACTATATATTACGGTATGTGTGATATATAGTTTATTTTATTCATATCTCTAGTTCCAAAGGGTTTAGAGCTCCTCCAATAAAATATAGGTTTAATTGAGCCATTAAAAAAGCCACCTGCCTAAGAAAGGGAATTAGAGATAAATAGAAAAATAGGCTATGAATAATGATTGCAACTGAGCATAAATCTTAGTTTCAAGCTTCCTGTCAGCTAAGACAAAAAGGGAAACCCAATAATAAAAGTAAGCATGACAATTCATTAGGGAAGAAAAAGATTTTCCATCTAAAATATATAAATTTCTAGATATCAATAAAAAATACATCATTGGAATAATTTAGTAACATGAAATTCATATTTAAATATACAATAAAAGGTCTTTAGGCATGCCAATTCTCCAAGTCTATTGCACCTGGTAGTGATCCCTCACCAATGGAAGGGTGTTTCTGGGAACTAACTCTACCATAAGCTCATACTGGCTGCATGCATCTGCCTAAGATCACAATTGCCTCTTGGGAATAGCAACCAGAAAGGATCCTCTCTTGTTTATACACACCGAGTGAAAGCCAAAGACAAATTAAATTGAACTTATGATAATATGTTCGCTGCTAAAATTGGAGAGAAAAAAGTAAATTCTTGAAAGAATTGGAACAAAATACTTAAATAATGAAAGTAGATGGCTTCAGTTGAAGTTGGATACCAAGCAATGTTGTCTCCAGAACACTCTCCCGGTCTTGGAGATTCTTTCCTATTCCAAAGCAGTATCTACTTTTCATCCTAAATTTTACTTTCATAAGAGTAGCTGGCATCACCTTTATGTGAATCAAGTCACTGTGTTACCTCTCCCAGGGGTGTTTGCCCTTTAAGCTTTCGCTCTAATTCGATTTAACAGATGCTTACTGGAGGCCTACTATATGCAAGCAAGGTACTTTCCAGATGCTAGTAGTGCAATAAAAGGCTTCATGTTCTTAGATAGGGATTTCAAGCATCAGTGAATAGGTAGGCAAGAGAGTTTTCATTCTCTGGGTAACATCTTACTCTCTGCCCCTGTATCCTTCTAAATGACCTTTGTTGTTGGGGCCACAGAGCCATCACACATACTTACACATTCCTCAAATTTTTAGTCTAATTTTCTCCTTTTCCTAATCTTAGAGAACCAGGAGTTCAGGTGTTACTGTAGCTGAATTTCTGGCTTATTCCCCTTTCCTTGTCAAAGGATTCCTGACTTACTCCCTTATGTCTGAATTTTTCTGATACCCCAGTTTTTCCTTAGAAGAGAGAAAAATATTATGTGTTGAAAACTTCATTTTAGGGGTGCCTGGGTGGCTCAGTTAGTGAAGCATCTGCCTTCGGCTCAGGTCATGATTCCAGGGTCCTGGGATCCAGCCCACATAGGGCTCCCTGCTTAGCAGGAAGCCTGCTTCTCCCTCTCCCACTCCCCCTGCCTGTGCTCTCTCTCTTGCTGTGTCTCTCTACCTCTGTCAAATAAATAAATAAAATCTTTAAAAAAAGAAAAAGAAAGCTTCGTTTTATTCTCCAGGCAGTGTACACAGTAATCCTTGCAACTACAATGTTAGTAGCATCATTTACATTTAAAAAAGGAGGGCCTGAGGCTCAGAGAGGTTTCCAAACAAGGACCCAAGCTGGGAGGTGGCAGAAAAGTTCCACATATCTGACTCCAAAGCCAGTTCTTTTTCCATCACAGCAGCCGTTCTCAAAGGGGGTGCAATTTTGCCCCTCCCCCAAGGAAATTTGGCAATATCTGGAGACATTTTTGTCACAACCAGAGGTGGAGTGGTGGGTTACTACTGTCATCTAGTGGGTGGAGGCCATGGATGCTGCTAAACATCCTACTATGTACAGGGCACCTCCCACAACAAAGAATTATGCACCCAGCCCAAAATGTCCATGGTGCCACTAAGAGAAGCCAGTGCTACATTACAGAATGCTCCCTGCCCTATTCCGATCTTATTTCCAAGGATCCAAAGGTAGGTAACTGCTTCAAAATTAAACAAATTGTAGAAAGCGACAGACCAATCAACACCTTGTTCATACTACAACTCTCTTCCGGAATAAAGAAAAACAGATTGGAGCCTTAAGATGAAAATGCTGGGTGTGGGGAGAGAAGAGGGGTAGAGCACAGTAAGCAGAAAGGAAATGCAAACTAGTTATTGAGTTTAAAAATCAGGATGTAAATGTATAGATTTTTTTCATCCCCAGGATTTTCTTTTTTTAAAGATTTTATTTATTTATTTGAGAGAGAGAGAATGAGAGAGAGAGCGAGTAAATGAGAGGGGGGAGGGTCAGAGGGAGAAGCAGACTCCCTGCCGAGCAGGGAGCCCAATGCAGGACTCAATCCAGGGACTCCAGGATCATGACCTGAGCCGAAGGCAGTCGCTTAACCAACTGAGCCACCCAGGCGCCCCATCCCCAGGATTTTCAATAATAATCCAAATGTTCACGCACTGCTTTGAAATTTAACTATTTGGACCTGGTTAAATTTACCCTGACCTCAACCAACATTTGCGTTTGATTTTTTTTCCGGGACCCAGGGGACGTGGATGCCAGATGAGGCCACCTTGTCTCCTCTTCCCGCAGGGACAAGACCTGCCAGGTGCTGGTGACTTGGCGCCTGACAAGAGCCCGCTCTGTGGACGACTGGCAGGATCCCAGAGCCACAGACAGGCGTTTGGGACACTTTCCCAGCCCACGGCCCCTACCCTCAACTGCTCCCGCCCTCCCTCCGGGTACCCCCGGGGGCGGGGCTGCGGGAGAGCACGTCCCTGCGCCGTGACGTCAGAATCCCAGCGCCTTGGCCCCGGCCCTTAGCAACCGGCCTGGCGACGGTCTCCAGCAGCTGCGGCTCCGCGCCGGCTCCTGCGCGCCAATCGTGTGCTGCGGGGCCCGGCCCGGCCCGGCCCGGGGAAGGACCGAAGGGGACCTAACGTGTCCCCACGGCGGCTGCAAGAGAATCTAAGCATGGATGGCAGCCGGAGAGGTAAAGGGAGCTCTCGTGGTGACGGCAGCCTCGCGCCGGCCCTCACTCCGGGCCTGGGGTCCGGGATGCGGGTCGCGGGTGCGCGGGTCCAGGCAGCGCCCAGGGGGCTTCCGGTCGCCTGTTCAGTCGCTACTGTTGATCCAGGTGTTACCCCGCGCACAGGAGGAGGCCCTCCTTGCTCAGAATCTGTGGCCCTGACTGCTGGGACCCCGGTCGCCTGAACTCGGGAGCATGCAGCCTTTTTTACCTCGGTGGCTCCGAGGCAGAGGAACTAAATTTGGTCTTTGGAGTCAGACCTCCCAGAGCCCCAGATCAAGCCCCGCTGCTCTCCGCAAGGGTGACACCCAATTTCCTCATCTCTCGAATGTGGCAGTAAAACATCCATGTCAGAGTTCTTGAAAATTAAATGCAGATAATATATAACTCCTGGCATATTTTAAGTAATCAGTAAATATGAATTCGTCCTTCTGTAATCACCTCCCTCCCCACAAAACAAGTAACCCAGGGATTCTCTAACTTCAATGTGAATAGGAATCCCCTGGGAATCGTGTTAAAATGCAGATTATGGTTCAGTAGGTCTGGTGGGGGCTGAGATTTTGCATTTCTAATAAGCTGCCAAATGATAAACAGTGTTGCTGGCTACAGTTTTAGTGGCAAAGGACTAATCCATAATCACTGTGTACACCTGCACTTTCCTGAATACTCTCTGGGTCAAGTGGACATCACGGTGGAACTCTTGGGGCCATATAACTTTAAATCTCTGTGAATTGGCTCAATCCAAATAATTTGCATTTTCACATTTTCTCAGCAAGTGGAGTTCTTGCCTCAAGCCAGATAAAGTAATCTCCAGATCCTCCCCCTCCCAATTATCACTTTTAAAAGTATCTTTAAACCAAGCTGCTGGATGGTTCCTTGCAATAAGTCTTGCTTTGAATATGAGTGTGCCTTTATTATGTAATCATTGGTCAAAATAAGTGCTGTTCTGAATATAGGAGATTACTATCCATTGATAGCAAACTGTATATTCTGACACTCTATCAACCTAAACTCCAGAAAAAGCAAACCAACATGCCTTTTTGGTTTTTAGAAATTTTGCAACATAAGCTACCCTTGCTGTGTACCAGAAATAATTCTCAAGCTGTGTCTTGATAGGTATTATCCTCATTTCACAGCAAATAAACTAAGAGATCATAAATAACTTGCCAGGGTCACAGTAAGTGGCAGAACAAGCTTTATATCCAGATGAGGAACATGAACCCCTAAAGCCATTGTTTTTTTATTTACTATCCCATGGCAGAAGTGGGAGTATGAGAAAGGACGTATGTAAAATTTCAATTATACAAGCATACCTCGGAGATACTGCAGAATCTGTTCTACTGCAATAAAGCAGGTATCTCAGTAAAGTGAGTCAAATGAATATTTTGGTTTCCCAGTGTATATAAAAGTTGTGTTTACCCTACACTGTAGTCTATTAAGTATGCAATAACATTATGTCTAAAAAAACAATGTACATGCCCTCATTTAAAAATACTTTATTGCTAAAAAATGCTAACCATTATCTGAGCTTTCAGCAAGTAGTAATCTTTTTGCGGGTGATGGGTCTTGCATTAATGTTGATGGCTGCTGACTGGTCAGGGTGGTGGTTGCTGACCATTGGCGTGACTGTGGCAATTTCTTAAAATGAAACAACATTGGGGGTGCCTGGCATGCTCAGTGGAGCATGTGACTCTTGATCTCTAGGTCATGAGTTTGAGCCCCACGCTGGGTGTAGAGATTACTTTTAAAAAATGAAATCTTTAAAAAAAAAAAGAAGGAAGGAAGGAAAAAGAAGACAACATTGAAGTTTGCCACATCGATTGACCCTTCCTTTCATGAATGATTTCTCTGTAGCATGTGGTATTGTTTGATAGCATTTTACCCACAATAGAGCTTCTTTCAAAACTGGAGTTAATTCTGTCAGCTAAGTTTATGTAGTATTCTAAATCCTTTGTTGTCATTTCAACGATCTTCACAGCATCTTTACCAGGAACAGATTCCATCTCAAGAAGCCACTTTCTTTGCTTGTCTTTAAGAAACAGCTCCTCATCTGTTAAAGTTTTATTGTGAGATTGCAGCAATTCAGTCACATCTTCAGGTTCTACTTCTAATTCTAGTTCTCTTGTTATTTCTGTCACATCTGCAGATACTTCCTCCACTGAAGTCTTGAACCCCTCAGTCATCCATGAGGGTTGGAATCAATTTCTTCCAAATTCATATTAATGTTGATATTATTACTTCTTCCTACAAATCACAAATATTCTTAATGGCATCTAGAATGGTGAATCCTGTCCGGAAGGTTTTCAATTTACTTTGCCCCGATCCATCAGTGGAATGGCAGCTCTAGCCTTATGAAATGTATTTCTTAAATAATAAGACTTGAAAGTTGAAATTACTCCTTGATCCATGGGCTGCAGAATGGATATTGTGTTAGCAGACATGAAAACCTTAATCTCATTGTATATCTCCATCAGAGCTTTTGGGTGACCAGGTACATTGTCAATGAACTTAGTAATATTTTGAAAGGAATCTTTTTCTGAGCAGTAGGTCTCAACAGTAAGCCTAAAATAGCCACTGAGGGGCACCTGCGTGGCTCAGTTGTTAAGCGACTGCCTTCGGCTCAGGTCATGATCCCAGGGTCCTGGGATTGAGCCCTGCATCAGACTCCCTGCTCAGCAGGAACCTGCTTGTCCCTCTTCCTCTCCCCCGGCTTGTGCTCTCTCTCTCTCTTTCTCTCTATCTGTCAAATAAATAAAAATAAAATCTTAAAAAAAAAGAATCCATTGAGCCCACCCAGAGACACCAAAAACAACAACAGCAAAACACCCTATTCATTAAACTGTGTTATAAACAAATGTGCTGTTACATGGGCATTGTTGTTCTATTTATAGAGCACTGACACAGCAGATGTAGCATAATTCTTAAGGGCCCTAGGATTTTCAAAAATGGTAAATGAGCATTGGCTCCAACTTAAAGTCACCAGCTGCATTAACCCCTAACAAGAGAGTCGCCTGTCCTTTGAAGCATTAAAGCCAGGCATGGACTTCTCCTCAGAGACTATGAAAGTCCCGGATGGCATCTTCTTCCAATATAAATCTGTTTCATCTACATTGAAAATCTGTTTAGTGTAGCCACCTTTATTAATTATCTTAGCTAGATCTTCTGGATAATTTGCTGCTTCACCTTATACTTTTATGTTATAGAGATGGCTTCTTTTCCTTAAACCTCATGAACTAACCCCTGCTAGCTTCAGACTTTTCTTCTGCAGCTTCCTTACCTCTCTCAGCCTTCATAGAAATAAAGAGAATTGGGGGCTTGCTCTGGATTGGGCTTTGCGTTTTTTGTTTTTGTTCTAGTTTTTGTTTTCTTGGATTAGGCTTTGGTTTAAGGGGATGTTGTAGCTGGTTTAGTCTTTTATCCAGACCACTAAAACTTTCTACATGTCAGCAATAAGGCTATTTCACTTTCTTATCATTTATGTGTTTCCTGGAACAGCACTTTTAATTTCCTTCAAGAACTTTTCTTTTGTATGTATAACTTGGCTAAGTGTTTGACACAAGGGACCTAGATTTGGCATATCTCAGCTTTGAACATGCCTCCCTCACTAAGCTTAATCATTTCTAACTTGATTTAAAGTGAGATGCATGCAACTGTTCCTTTCACTTGAACACTTAGAGGTCATTGTAGGGTTATTAATTGGCCTAATTTCAATGTTGTTGTTTCTCAGGGAATAGAGAGGTCCAAGAAGGAAGAGATGCGGAGAATGGCTGTTTGATAGAACAGTCAGAACATACAACATTTATCAAGTTCCCCTGGATTCAGATCCAAAATCTGAGTCTATTACACACAATTGTCGAGTAATCTTGGGCAAATTACATGCTTTACCTCTTTGTGCTTCACTGTAAAGTGGGGATAATGATAATACCTATCTCATAGGATTGTTATAAGGATTAAATGAATTTATAGCTACCAAGTGCTTAGAACAGTACCTGCCTGGCACAGTTAGTATTCAGTATATTAGCTTTTGACTATAAGTGAAGAAACCCAATTCAAACTGGTTTAGAGATTTTCAGCTCCTGTAAAGAAACGTCTAGTAACGTCTAGTAATGTCAAACATGGTTAGATTCAGGGACTCAAATGAAATTACTGTCTTCCATTTCTCTCTGTTAGGCTTCATTCTCAGACAGGTTCCCTATATGGTACAAGACAACCACTAGGAATGCCAGGCTTCTTTGTCTTACGCTGGGCTCCAGCCCAGTAGAGAGAGTATCTCTTTCCTGATAGTTCCAGTAAAAGTCCCAGGATTGTGTGTCATTGGCTGGATTTGGATCACATCCTTATTCCTGATTCACTGAACATAACTGGTCAGATTTGGGTTATATGCCCACCCCTGAGCTGTGGGATAAGCTCTACTTGAATTACTTGGGCTAAAAGTAAGGCAAGAGTGGTTCCCCAAGTGCAAGTTGAAGGCCCTATTTCCAGATAAAGGGACATGGGATTCTAGGCAGGCAAAATGTGAGACACTTTGTTTTCCCCCAGAGAAACAAGGTTTTCTGAATAAAAAAAAATAAAATAAAAAAAAAAAGAAACAAGGTTTTCTGGAGAGGTTTTATTGGTCATTCTGCTTTCTTTGTGTGTTTAGGTCTCAGATCCCCTTCTTTCCTTGTAGAAACAAACTATGCTAATTTCATGACTGTCATTACCAACTGAAATGGTATCACCTTGACCTCTCTTGTTCTAAATAATAAGTTAATTTTTTTCCTTCCTGCCCTCTAGCCTGTGATAGAGAAGGATCTTCTCAGATAATCAGATCTCAAGTATTTTTTATTTTAGTCTGTTCTAGCAGGCTTTGTTCTCTGGTCCTGGATTTTAGTTCTATCTCGATACCTCTCTTTCCATTTTCAATCATCCACATTTCTTCCAGACTTTGTGTCCCTTCCACACCTTAGCTTATAGCAGCCCATCTGATAGCAGACTGACCATTTTACCATCTTAAAAACATATCTTAGGGATACACTATTCTTACTTTGCATGTTAAATTCCATTAAAATCTATAACTCAGCCTTCTTATCTTGAAGGTTACTCCTCAAAACACAATTCACTTTTAGGGGAGAGAAATTAATTTTGTGATGAGGTATATATCTAATTTTCTGACATTCCATCTTGTCTGAAAGATGAGGCGCTGACTTTAGGGGAGATAGCAAGGATCCAAACAAGAGCGTAAGGGGTTGGACGAGATGAACCTTACATCTTTTAATAATTAAGTTCTGATTCTGACATTTTTATACATATATTTTACATAGAGTAACATTGTATAATTTCTAATTTACTAAACTACTTTGTGAGAGGATTACTTTCTTAAAATTATTTTTAAGAACAGACTTACTTATGATTAACTGAAATAGTTAATGTATATGTGTTAACTCAAAATCTCACTTCTATATCTCAGAATCATTAAAAAATCTGGTAGGTCAGTGGTGTACAGAATAAAATTAATATATATCAAATAACATAAGTGAGGTATTTGTCATTTTATCCAGTGAAACTAAAGTCTCAGGGTACAGCTGTTCTGAGAACAACTTATTTTCTTAAAAGAGAAAGCTTTTTATCTTCTACAGCAATAGAATTTTTGTCTGTCTGATGTATCATTGCGATTAGTATCATGATTGAATAAAATTTTAAACAATTGTGATAGTTAAAATCAAAGATACAGTTATTATTTTTAAATATTCAATATTGTTGTTTCTGTACAACTTGTGTTTGATTTATCCTAATTTATATTTTTTTGTTAAAAGTCAGAGCAACCTCTGTCCTTCCCAGATACGGTCCACCATGCCTATTTAAAGGACACTTGAGCACCAAAAGTAACGGTAAGTGAGGTATTTAAGTGGTAAAAGATTACGTGTTAAAAGGTTGACTGTTTCCTTTATTTGTAAAGTGTAAGACATGATGAAAAATTACTTCATTTAATCAGTATTGAACTTCATATTGTTAATTACAATTAAATATTATAGGAATTCTTGAGATGAGGGAATTTAGGAAGCCATCCTTTCAAAGTAGTGTTGTGCCCAGGATGTGGCCCTGGCCTCTGCCTGCTCCCTCTTGCGGCTCCAGCCCCGCTCTCCTCTGTGCCGGCAGACCTCCCTGGCTTCCGGCATGCCTTCCTTGGTGAAGTGGTGATTAGGGGGTTAGTTAAAGACACTGGCACTAAAAAGGAAAAGTTGTGCAGAGAAAAAGAGCACTTGAAAAATACATTTTGTATCAGGAGTAAACACCTGTGATTTTACTTTTCCAACTGGATTTCTGGATTCTATGAGAAAGAAATCTGTATTTTCTGTATTTTCACATTTTAAAGCCTTTAAATTTTTAATGGGAACTTAAAATATATTTTTATAATGATAGATTCAAAATTTAAACTGGGTTTTTTAAGGCAAAATAATTGAAAGTCTTTTTTTCCTTATTTACATGAAAAATCTTTGATACTGGTTCCTCTAAAAGTGAAAGAAGGATCACATTTTCAGTTAACTTATTTCTTGTAATAAAATATATGTACACATAGATCAGAGTCATCAATGTTGAAAAATTATTTTTAACTAAAAATTTAAAACTAGATGTAAAGAATACATACATTAGAAAAGCAGAAGGAACAACAATAAGTAGTTGGCTAACTTTTTTTTTAAGAATATATGTGCAACTACAAAAAAAAAAAAGAATATATGTGCAGAACTGGTACAGTTTTAGTGGATCTAAGTAGGAGGCTGCCTGGGTTCTTGTCAGCTGTGGGACCTTGAAGACCTTATTCACATCTCTCTACCTTAGTTTCCATTTCTATTAAATGGTGATAATAATGACTAAATGAGTGTTTACCTGTTAAGAGCTTAGAACAATGCATGCATGGTACCTAGTCAATAAATTTTAATAGTAGTAATAGTATCAAGCTTATCATTATTGTACATCCTTGTATTATGCATAGAATTTCCCTAGAAGGATGCATAAAGTTAGTAGCAGAGTATACTTCTGGGAAGGGAGGGGAGGGGTCATGGCAGGAAGTTCAGTTATTTTTCAATCTTTGTATGCCGTTTTAGCTGTTGACTTTTTAAAACTGTATGTGTGTATTCTCAAAATCAGCTTTTAATGTTTAAAAGTTATGCCTACATTTATTTACATTTTATACATTTATACTTACATAAATTTCTAAGATTTCTTTTAAACAGTTTAGATGAGATTGAGAAGTTTAATGTCATAGAATTTCTATGTGACTGTATTTGTCTTAAGATAGTCCTAATATTTCAAGAAGAGTGCGGTAAACTGATGGTGTTTTCAGGTGTAAAATTAGAAGTTGCCTCTCGGAAAAGAATCTTTGCATAGTATTTGAGTTTCAAATTTGATTTATTCAACTATTAACAATGCTAACATTTTACAATCAGGCAAGTGGCTAAACATTTTTACGAGATTGAGGTCTGTCAATAAGAAACAGTTTTGTAAATACAGTGATAGATTATATTCTAGAATCTCTTCCCAAACTCTCAGTCTTAGAAAGGTTTGAACCCAAGTAGTCAATAGCTTGTCAGTTATCAGTGCAAGATTAAGGCTAGGACATGTTCAGCATCACAGATACGTCAGTATGTTCATTGGTTAATTTTCAGAACATTTTATAAAAATGAGCTTAATAATCAGTATCTTGTTTATCTCATGATGATTTTTATATTCTAAATACATAATGATTAAATATGTTTTAATTTTTAGCTTTTTGCACTGACTCCTCCTCTCTCAGACTAAGTACTCTCCACCTGGTCAAGAATCACATGGCTGTTCACTATAATAAAATCCTTTCAGCCAAAGGTAAAAATGTGCAAATGTGAACTTTCTATACCCAGTTTAAACCTCAGCTTCCTTTCTAATTAGGGTAAATCTGTAGCAAAAATGAATATATATATAAATGGATTTGTGTTTGGTGTGGTGAGATATCAACTGTTAACTCTAACTTTTATATGTAGAAAATTCAGAATGCCATTTTTATTAACTATATTTGATATCTGTATAATAACTACATTATTTCATTTTACCTGTGTTATCCGTAACACATTTTTGTGGTTAGATATTGATCTTAATATAATAAGTTTGTAATCTGCTTTTTTGTTTTCAAATCTACTATAGAAATCGTACAAAGAGGATGCCAGCTATTACTTTTTTCTTTTTTGTTGCTTTATTGAGATAATAATATACAATAAAATGCGCTAATTTTAAGTGTACCGTTAAGTGTTTTGGAACATATATACATTTGTATAATCACCACAACAGTCATCCTATAACAGGGATCGGCTAACTACAGCTCGTAGGCCAAATCCTCCTGCCACTTATTTTTGTACAGCTCTTGAACTAAAAAATGATATTTATATTTATGTTATTAAATGGTCAGAAAAAATCAAAAGAACAATATTTCGGGGCACCTGGGTGGCTCAGTTGGTTAAGCGACTGCCTTTGGCTCAGATCATGATCCTGGAGTCCCTGGATCGAGTCCCGCATTGAGTCCCGCATTGCATCTGGCTCCCTGCTCAGCGGGGAGCCTGCTTCTCCCCCTGACCCTCCCCCATCGTGTGCTCTCTCTCATTCTCTCTCTCACAAATAAATAAATAAAATCTTAAAAATATATATATTTCGTAACATGTGAAAGTCACATGAAATTCAAATTTCATTGTCCCTAAGTAAACACAGTCATGTTCATTCTCGGATATATTGTCTGTGGTGGCTTTTGCTCTAACGAGCAGAGTGGACTAATTGTGACAGAGGCCATAATCACTCTGTAAAGCCTGAAGAATTTACCATCTGTCCCTTTGCAGAAAACATTCACTGACCCCTGATACAGAACATTCCCATCACCCTAAAAAGTTCTCCCTAGTCCTTTGCAATCAGTCTCTTCCCCCAATCCCTGGCAACCACTTATCTGCTTTCTATCACTATAGTTTTGCCTTTTCTAGAATTTCATATAAATGGAATCATACACTGTGTATCATTTTGTGTCTGGCTCCTTTCAATTAGCTAATGTTCTGGAGACTAATCCATGTTGGTATGTACATCTGTAATTCTTCCTTTTTATTGTTAAGTAGTTTTCCATTCAATGAATATACTACAATTTGCTTATGAATTCATCAGTTGGTGGGTATTTGGATTGTTTTGACTCAATTTTGGCCATTAGGAATAAAGCTGCTATAAGCATTCGCGTACAATCTTTGAACATGTGCTTCCTTTTCACGCTGATAAATGTATCACTACGAGTGGAATTGTGGGGTAAAATGGTAAGTATGTTTAACTTTATAAGAAACTGCCTGTTTTTCCAGAGTGAGTGCCATTGTGTGTTTCTGTCACTTCCGCATTCTCACCAGCACTTCCTTTGCCAGCCTTTGGCAGTCCTGCAGCCATTCTAGTTGAGATTTAGGTCGCTCATCAGGGCTTTAGCTTGTATTTCCCTAATGCCTAATGATGTTGAGCAACTTTTCTTGTGCTTATTTGCTATCTGTTCAGATCTTTTGCCCATTTTTAAAAATAAGTTGTTTCTTTTTTTAAAGATTTTATTTATTTGACAGAGAGCATAAGTAGTGGAAGCAGCACGCAGAGGGAGAGAGAGAAGCAGGCTCCTGCTGAGCAGGGAGCCCGACCTGGGGCTCGATCCCAGGTCCCCGGGATCATGACCTGAGCCAAAGGCAGACGCTTAACTGACTGAGCCACCCAGGCATCCCAAGTTGTTTGTTTCTTAATGTTAAATTGTGAGAGTTCTTTGTATATTAAATACAGATCCTGTATCAAATACGTTTTCTCCCAGTCTGAGACTTATCTTTTCATTTTCTTTTTAAAATTTTTATAATGAAATAATTTTAGACTTATAGAAAAGTTGTGAAAATAATATGGTGTCACAGAAACCCTTCACCCAGCTTTCCCTAATGTTAAAATCTTATATAACCACAGTACAGTTATTAAAACTAGCAAATGAATATTGATAGAATACTATTAAGTACAGATCTTATTTGAATTTCATCAGTTTTTCACCAGGGTCTTCTAAAAATTTTTGTTTTCTCATTTGAAGAGCTAAGTTTATAAATCTTAGTTTGCATTTTATGAAGTTTATATTTTTAAATGACTGAGAAATCTAAAGATAAATTGTATTTTGTGACATGTGAAATCAAGTTCAGCTTTTCAATTGCTTTAATAGTTTATACTTTCCATATCCTGTTTAAGAAAACTTTTCCTAATCTTAGGTCAGTAAGATTTTCTTATGTGTTTTCTTCTAGAAGTGTAAGTTCTAACTCCTACGTTTAAGTTTGTGATCCATTTTGAGTGAGTTTTTATATAAAGTATCAGTTTTTTTGCCTATGAATATCCAGATATTCCCAGTACCACTTGTTGAAGAGATTGTCCTTTCTGTGTTGAATTGCCTTTGCAGTTTTTGAAAGACAGCTGACCCATATTGGAGGGTAAATTTCTGGACTTCTCGGTTCTGTTCTAGATCTTATATGGGCACCTGGGTGGCTCAGTCCGTTAAGCGCCTGCCTTCAGCTCTGGTCGTGATCTCTGGGTCCTGGGATCAAGCCCCACATCAGGCTCCTTGATCAGCGGGGAGCCTGCTTCTCCCTCTGCCTGCCATTCCGCCTGCTTGTGCTTGCTCTCCCCCCAACCCGTATCAAATAAATAAATAAAATCTTTAAAAAAAAATACCATACTGCCTTAATTACTGTAGTATTACAATAAGTCTTGAAATCAAGTAGTGTAGAGCCTCTTATTTTGCCTTTTTGGGGGGAGCTTGTTTTGGGACTCCAATTACAGGTATGCTAAGTGCATGATAAAGGTAGGTTAGGTCACTGATGCTCTGTGCATTTATTTTCCAATCTTTATTTACTCTGTTTCATTTTAAGTAGTTTATATTGCTATGTTTTCAAGTTTTCTAATACTTCCTTCTACAGTACCCAGTGAGCTATTAATCCCAACCAGTGTATTTTTTATCAAGGGTATTATATTTCTTATCTCTAGAAGTACCATAAAGATCAAAACAAGGAACTGGAAATTCTGGAACTTTTTGTGCTTTTCACATCTGATATTTGTTCATTTATAACTATTAAGAATATTATTAAACAACTGATTTTTTTTTCTTTCAGCTGCAGTAGACTGCTCGGTTCCATTAAGCATGAGTGCCAGCATCAAATGTAAGTTATTTTTCACATACTGACTTTTAAAAAACACTAATGGTTAGATGAGTAATGGAGATGAAGGAGGGCACTTGTGATGAGCGCTGCGTGTTATCTGTAAGTGATGAATCACTGACCTCTGCTCCTGAAAGCAGTATTTCACTGTATGTTAAATAAATATTTAAATAAAACATTTTTAAAAACCTTGTGGTAAACTATACATAACATAGAATTTACCATTGTAACCATTTGTAAGTCTAACCATTTTAACCATTTCAGTGGCATTAGCTATGTTCATACTATGGTACAACTGTCACCACTACCCATTTCTAGAACCTTCTTATCTTGCAGAACTGAAACTCGTACCCATTAAACCGTAACTACCTTGTAACTATCATTCTGTTTTCTGTCTCTGACTCTGACAACTCTGGTACCTCATGTAAGTGGAATCATCAGGTAGTTTTCCTTTTGTGACTGGCTTATTTTACCTAGCATAATGTGCTTGAATTTCATCTGTGTTGTAACATATGTCAGAATCTCCTTCCTTTTTAAGGCTTTTTTGTTTATACAATCGTAAGTCAGTAGACACTTGGGTTGTTTCCACCTTTTGTTTATTTTTAATAATTCTCCTGTGGAGGGGCGCCTGGGTGGCTCAGTCGTTAAGCGTCTGCCTTCGGCTCAGGTCCTGATCCCAGGGTCCTGGGATCGAGCCCTGCATCGGGCTCCCTGCTCTGCGGGAAGCCTGCTTCTCCCTCTCCCAATCCCCCTGCTTGTGTTCCCTTTCTCACTGTGTTTCTCTCTGTCAAATAAATAAATAAAATCTTTAAAAAAAAAAAATTCTCCTGTGGACATGGATGTGCAAATATCTCTTTGAGACCCTGCTTTCCATTCTTTTGGGTATATGCCCAAAAATGGAATTGCTAGATCATACGGTAATTCTATTTTTAATTTTTTGAGAAACCACCATAGTATTTTGTACAGCATCTGCATCATTTTGCATTTCCACCAATAGTGTGCAAGGCCTCCAGTTTCTCCACATCCTCCCCAACACTTGTTATTTTCTGTGTTTTTGATTGTAGCCATCCTAGTAATGGATGTTGGTATATTGCCTTTTGAGGAAGCATTTTCTAACTTTTAAAAATTATCCATAAATAAAAGAAGCTTGTATTTCTAAGTTTAAGAACTTAGAATTGAGCCCAGGCTTTGCCACTAAATTGCTGCATAACTTTGGATAAATTATTTAACTTCTCTGGATTTCATTATTCCTACATACAAAAATTTGGATGGTACTAAAAGGCTTACCAAGGTAAAGTTCTAGGATTCTGTGATTCTAACTTCCCTTGGTTTATTAAGGTTACTGAATGATTCATTAAAACTACCATAACTGGCACTTTTCTTCAGATAAATACTGTCTACTATTTGTATCCTAATAGCTAAACTGATGAACTTGATAGTATCTGGAAATCCATATTGACTGAAGTTTTCTAAATAACCTCTACTAAGGAAATAATCAGACTCCAAAATTTGAAATTCCTATTTTAAAATGTTCTAAAAGATACCATTTGAGGCCTTTGTTTGAGTTCAAGTCAGGAAATATATACTTAAAAATAGCAAAAGGACATAGATATCATAGCCTAAGAGAGGATTTCTATATTAGAAAATAAGTATCAGCCCAACGTGTAGTGCATGCTAAGTGGTGAATGAAAGAAAGAATAGGTAGAGAAATGCCCCTTAGGTGCAGTCTGGGAAAGATCAAAGACAGCAGGATCAGTTGAACCCGATCTCTTCTTATAGACCTTCTTAGTGGAAGAGCTAGGACTTTTAAGCTGAGCCAGTTGCCCCCAGCTGCCATTCAGTGAGCATGGTGTCCTCGTAGGCCCCATGCTTGGCACTTTGTATTCCCCCCCTTTTGTTCCTTTATTTGTAACAGGCCCTAGTGTGGGCTCTCATATCTGTGAAGGAATCTTGGAGGTCAAATAATTTTAGAAGAGGGGCAGAGGCATTTTAGGCAAGAGTCCAGACTTAAATATATATATTGAAAGACCAGATTGACCACAGCATAAAAGTTATGTGGGCGAGTCATTTTACCTCTTACCCTCCTTTCTTGTAAAATGAAAGGTAATTAGATAATCTCTAAGGATTCTTCCAGATTTTTAATTCCTGTGGTGTATTCTTTTTCTTCTGTATCATATTAATGATATTTTTATAGCACAAAAAACTGGTTCAGTGTTTACCAACTTAAAAAATCTGAACCATTTGGGGCGCCTGGCTGGTCCATCAGTAGAGCATGTGACTTTTGATCTCAAGGTTCGTTGAGTTCGAGCCCTATGTTGAGTGTAGCGATTACTATAAACACACAAACAATACATAAATAAACAATACATAAATTTAATCTTCAAAAAAAATCTGAATCATTTCAATTAAGATGTTTTTACCCTTTGCTGTTAGATTGTTTTGATAAGGAATAAAGGAATTCCTAACTAAAAAAAAAAAAATGTTTTACCCAATTGTATTATCAGATAATCTTCTTTAACTAGGATCACGTCTAAATGGGAAAGTTTTGCTAAATTTTCACACTGATACTAATTTCCTGAACAATAAATATGTAAAATAAGATTATCTCTTTTTTTATTTAGATTGAGTAATAAAAAGCTTGCCTGAATGTATGTATGAATCCTCTTACTGAACCAAACCCTGGGATCTAAGATCCATGTTCACCAATTTAAAATAATCAGGCATTTTGCATAATATTTTGTTTAGTTCACTAGAGTTTATTCATTGATTAATTCAGCAAATATTAGGCACCTACTATGTGCTAGATACTGTTCCAAGGGCCCTTAGAACAAAAGGAGGTGGAGGTGAAAAAAGTACCTGCTTTTATAGAGCTTACATTCTAGTTGAAGGAGACAAATGATGAGAAAATACAAAAAAAAAAAATAAGTAAATACAGAATATGTCAGAGAGTGACAAATGCAATGGAAAAAAACCAAGCAGGATAAGGGAGATTGAGAGTCGTCTTGGGAGAGAAGGCCTCACTGAGAAAGTGAGCAGAAACCTGAAAGAATTAAGGGAGAGGCAAGTGGGTTAGATGGGGGAAGAAGAACAATCAAGGAAATAGCAAGTACGAAAGCCTTGGAATGGCACTGTGATTGGTGTGTTCAGGGAACAGCAAAGAAAGCTATCTAGCTGATGTGAAGTGGGCCAGCTGAAGAGTGTTAGGAGAAGAAGTTATTGAGGTGGGACAGAGAGAACAGACTTGGTGGGCTGTAATCAGTGCAAGTGCTTTGCCTTTGACTCTGCATGGAATTGGAAGCCACTGGAGGGTCTTGAGTAGAAGAGTAATAGAGCCAGTTTAACTTTTAAGAGCATCTCTCTGGCTACTGAGTTGAGAATAGCCTGTAAGGGGCAATGGTAGAAGCAGAATGACTAGTTAGGAGACAGGAATGCAGATAAGAAGTAATGGTGAGTTGGGGCACCCAGCTGACTCAGTCAGAGCATGTGGCTCTTGATCTTGGGGTTATGAGTTCAAGCCCCACTTTGGGCATATGTTACAGGATTTTTGTCCCCTTAGTGCCCATGGTTCTTGGTCCCGCCACTTTGAAGAATGAAGAGGTAGACCAGACAGAGTGGTGGGCAGCAAAGCAAAGTTTACTGAACAATAGTAGTACAGAGCTCCTGAAGAGGGAGGGGACTCAAGAGGGGTGCCCTTTGAGCTTCTAAGTGTAGGGGTTTTTATAAACTCATGAAATTATCGTAAGCATCCTGAATGTGGGCCCTTGTGGATTGGCTGCTTAGGTGTGCCAATCAGGGCTTTGATCATGCACCCATCCACCGATCAGGTTATTGTTCACGTGTTGGTGATCTTGTGGGCTGACATTTGGAGACGAAGTGATAGTGACCAATGTTTTATGGTTAATTGTTTTGTTTCAGGATGTTTTGCAAAAGCCATTTTTGCAAAAGCTGCTAGACAGTGTGCTCTTGTAGTCTTGTCTAAGCTGCAAAACAGGTGGTCTTGTCTAAGCTGCAAAACCGCAATAGTGCAGTTTTGTCTTAGCTGTCCCAGCTTTTTGCTTTCTTTTTGGGGACCCTGGCTCTGACTACCTAAGTGTCCAACTAACTCCTAACACAGAACTTACTTAAATTAAAAGAGGGAGGGAGGAAAGGAAGGAAGGAAGGAAGAAAGAAAGAAAGATTTGAGAATTGACAGCATATAGGTTGTATTTAAAGAATTGCTCCTATTTTTTGTTTTTGCAATTTAAATTTAGCTAGTGCTTATTTATCCAGGGTACTTTCTGCTTTCAGTCAGTTGAGACAAGAGGTTTTCTTTTTTTGCCACGTAAATGAAGAAAATTGTGATGGCTAGAAGAATTACAAAGATTGTTATCACCAAACTAAAGTGTAATTAATAATCATTATTCTTGTGTTATAGAGCTGATGTTCATTATAATTAATATAACTAACTTAGAAACAGATTTTATAGACACTTAAAAAAAGAAATCTCTGGGTTTGAGCCATCTGTTTTTATAAGATACTCTTCTAACAGACTACTGACTCAATCATTTCAATCTTCATAGTATCTAAGCTAGAATAGCTCTACATAGTTTATTGAATTGTTTAAATAATCCCATATTCGAGGGGCACCTGTGTGGTTCGGTGGGTTAAGCATCTGACTCTTGGTTTCGGCTCAGGTCATGATCTCAGGGTCTTGGGATTGAGCTCCATGTCGGGCTCTGCGCTCAGCAAGGAGTCAGCTTGAGGATTCTCTTTCCCCCTGCCCCTCCCCCAGCTCGTGTGTGCCTGCTGGATCACGCTCTCTCTATAAAATAATCTTTTTTAAAAATCCCATATTCGAATGCATTAAAAGACTTTACTTTTTATAGCAGTTTTATTGACAAATGATTTGCATACCTCACTATTTTAGGGGCTTCTGGCTGGCTCACTTCGGTAGAGCATGTGACTCTTGATCACAGGGTCATAAGTTCAAACCCCATTGGGCATAGAGCTTCCTTACTTAACTA